AGAGAGAGAGAGAGAGAGAGAGAGAGAGAGAGAGAGAGAGAGAGAGAGACCTGAAAGCTCGCTGGCTCCCCGCTTCGTGACACACGAGCTGAACGCTGGCTCCCTGATGGCAGAAGATGAGAGCGACCTGGTCTGCAGGAGGAAGGAGGCAATGGCAGCAGCTGCTCCAACGTTGGCAACGGCGGCAGCAGCTCCAAGAACGCGCGTGGCAGCAGCTTCGACGGACGGCAGCCTGGAGGAGGCAGCAGCTTTGAGCAGGCGGGCGGCGGGGGCAAGTTGAAGCCCTCGTTCAAAATTGTGCCGCCTGTGCCGGCACGAGGGAAAATTTGCCCTCTCGTGTCTGGCAGTGACCAGGAGGCTGAAACGCGCCTAAAAAAAACGTGCCATATTTTTAACGGCTGCCTAGGGCCTCAACCTACACCTAGGCCCCGCCAACAAATTTTTAAAAATCCTTCGTAGGGGGGCCAAACCGGACCCCCCAAACCGGACACCCAGCACAGACTACCGGGTCCAGACTGTCTGGATGGGGCTCCGGACGTCCGGTCGGTAGCCATGCCGAAAAGCCCCAATTTTTTTTTTTGAAGGAGGCTGCAGCCTCGTGGGGGCTGGGCAGTCGTGGGAATGCCTGTCACTGCCAGGTACCCCCCATCCAGCCTAATGCGCTGGATTCGACCGGGGGTCTGCCGGGCCGGTCGACCGGCTGGTTCGACCGGCAGGCTCCCGGGCGGGGGAGGGGCCCCCGGTCCAACAGGGGATGAGCCCTGTACAAAAGTCGATTCTTGTTCAAAAAAAAAAAGAAAAAAAAGGAAAGGATCAGTAGGTCAGGGGATGATGCTAAGAAAGATGATGAATTGCCAAAAGCACCGTGCAGCTCCATCTTCTTTCTCTTTTGTTCTTTTTTTTTATGTTGGTTCCGCCTCTGTATTTCCGTGGGTACTCTTTTGATTCTGTGTGGTGTGCCCTGTCTCAGGGATACTGTGCTGGACACATTGCTGCAAGTTGCTGAGGTGCTCTCGCTCCACGATGACTGTGCAGCACAGCTCGCAGCCAATCAGAAAGTGTTCTCTCTGGCAACGCAGGTTCTACAACTTCCTGGGAGAGAGGAGGTGATTCATCAATTTCCTGCGTGCTTTTTTTCCTTTTCCTTTTTCCTTTTTCAAGTGTTTTTTTAGAAAGATGGACGGCCTTGAGGTATCATCACCGAACTGACCGGGCCCAGGTAAGTGGACCATAATCCGGAATTGTTTTATTCATCTGATAATTGAATCATAATTCCGATTCGATGGGGACTCAAACTTAGGTCTGGTTATCAACAGTTCATGGGCATATTGTTCAGCCACATGGGTTGGGTACTTCCTGCTTCCTTTCTAAGTTTCTCTCACTTTTTTTTTTCTTTCTTTTCTTTCTATCACTTTTGCAAAGGCCTCTCTCTCTCTTTTTTTTTTTTTTTTTTTTTTTTTTTTTTTTTTTTCGAGAAAGGAATTCCATCGTTTGAGAGACGCATAGAAGTTGTCGCCCATCCTGGTTCTGAAAACTGTAGAGGCCCACTGGAACATTCTCTGTGCAGTTGTCACAGTCTACTTTGCGTTGCTTTCACCGTTGAGGTCTTCCTAGTTTCTACGCTTCCCTTTCCTCTCCTCTTTTCTACTTCCCCTCCCCCTCCAGGTCCGCTTTCTTCTTCTCCTGTTTCTCCTACTGGGCATTCTCCGTGTAATAGTTTTCAAGCTCTTTGAGACTCATTTCATGGTTCCAGAACCTGGGAATATTCTGGGATGACGATTGTGTTTCTCTTCATTTGGCAGTGGCAGTTCATTAACTTTGTGTAGTAGGGATAGTCTGGTTAGTTCCTTGATTACTACCTGTGGGAAGCTGGACCTGAGTTCCAGCCCAAGCCGAAGCTTAGTTATTGGATACGTTGCTATTTTGCGCTACTTTTTGTGCTATCGTGTGCTATTGTGTGCTATGGTGTGCTATGGTGTGCTAATGTCACTTATCTCGGATACCTTGTACTATTGTGTGCTGTTGTATTTCATTGTGTTTTGTATTTATTCAATTTTATTGTTGCGTTATCTGTTGTGCTATTGAGTGCTGTTGTATTTCATTGTGTGCTGTCTATTGTAGATACTATGTGCTATGGTGATGTGCTATTCGGCCTTTAAACCGCAAGTACACGGCCCCAGCCTTGCAGGAAGTTTTTGTCGCCACAAGCAAAACTCGGAGGCGCGCACGGCGTGGGGCGCCGTTGAAAAAAAAATCTGCGTCTTCTGAAGTGGTGCGGGTTTTGTGCTGACCCCCGCGGGCCGATATGTGGTGTACTGGTGCTTTACGGGCCTATCCACACTGTCTGGAAAAAAGTGTGGTAATGAGAAAACTGGAATACCACTGCCTCTCTGAAAACCAATCAAACAAAAAAAGAAAACCAATCAAACACCGCCTCACTGGGTCGGCAATGGAAGGGTTGGGGAAATCGCCAGTTGCATTGCCTTTCCGGGCGATGCTAAAGTTGCTGGTAGTCTCCAAGGTAAAGTGATGATGGTGATGCCTGGCCCCACCAGCAATTGCTCCACATTCCGGAATAGCCCACTCAGGAGCAGGTTTCTATTCAAGTGTACTGAAGTCGGGGTCTATTATCGTACTGTGCGCTGGTTTACGGAAGTACACGGCTTTGGCAATATTCCGAAATTGCAAAACAACTTTCGGAAGCTGGGCACTGCCCCAGCAATAATAATAGACTAATAGTATAATTACTATAATACTTGACCACATTATACCACTGCATCCTTGGACAACATGGCACACCCCCTTGGGCCCCTACTGTGTTTTGTTCTCAGTCCAACCATGTGCTATTGTGTGCTATTGTGTGTTTTACTATATTCTTGCATGCTCTGCTGTTGAATACTATGTTTGTGTGATGTTTGTTACTCAGTGACATTCCTGCTGTGATATCCTTGGAAAGAAGATTTGTGAGAGATCACAAACCTCGACTACTGCTATCTACTTAGCACTGCTATATTACTGTTCATTGCAAAAACCGGAGCACATGAACATCGCACTGCTACACAAGAGTTTGACAGTATGGAATAGCACTGCTATACAAATGTTGGCTGTATGTGAATAGCACTGCTATACTGCATGCAGTAGTATAGCTAGTGCTATGTGAACTCGGTGAATATGCTGTGGAACAGCAATGTTCCAACAAGCACAGCATTCGATCGCAGTCAAACAGCTCTAGAAAGCAACGGGGGATCAGAAATGCTCTAGTATGCCAATGATCATTATTGCACTTCATCCAATGAATTATTTGCAGTACTACCGATACATAAAAATACTGGAGTTCGTTTGCTTCCATGGACGAGGTAGTAGATTTTGCGATGGCTATCGATCAAAGTGATTGGTTGTCAATGGTATTGGTGTTCCCAGCATGTGCTATATATTATTATGTGCTAATGTGTGCTCTGTGAAGTGCACTGGTGTCACAGTGTGTGCTATGCAGCACTTTCGTTGTGATATTTTGTGTGGTGTTCTCTTTCTGTGCCCCATTCTATCTTAATCTGCGGTGTTGATGCTGCGTGCATCCATCCTTTCATTCTGTGGTGTTGTTCCTTTACTGAAGGACAGACAGACACCCAAACCAAAGCAAGTGGCCTCATTTCCACTTAAACCACTAATACCTCCGAGCCTATTTTCGACAAGTACTGGTCTACCTCCAAACTTTCAGGAGGCCGAGCCCGCCGTTGATAAATCTGATCGGCAGCCGTCATTTCGTTTCGGCCTCCTGAAAGGTCGGAGGCCGAGTATTTTCGAACCGACAAAGGTACTAGTGGTTTAAGCCGCTAGTACACGGCCCCAGCCTTGCGGAAAGTTTTTGTCGCTACAAGCAAAATTCGGAGGCGCCGCGCTGCCAGGGCTGCCGTTGACAAAGCAAATCGGCGGCCTCCGAAGTGGTGCGGGTTTCGTGCTGACACCCGCGGGCCGATATGTGGTGTACCGGTGCTTTAAGAAAGGCACTTCTTTTTTAGGCGCCTAAGCACCTTAGATTAGAATTAGGAAAAAAAAAAAAGGAAAGAAAAGGAAAAGAAAGAAAGGCACCATAGCCTCGCCAAATCGGGGGAATGAATAGCAGGCGACCCTATATTTAATATTTATTAATTTATAATTTATTTAATTTAAGTTATTAATTTAATCCATTACCTATACCACTCTTCACTTGACTCGATCCCCCAATGGCTGGATTTCTTCATTAGGTCAATCGATGCCATTAACACTTTACTGCTGCTCTGTGCCTTTGTCATGCAGCCTGGTCCTTCGGCCATCACAGCTGTCGTTTTGATAGCAAATCTTTTGGCAGAAGAGCCCTTACTTGTCTCCGTCTTGGCATCTGGTCAGTTTCTTTCTGATCCATACAGAGACCTCTTGCTTTTGCTTTTACTCTGGCTTTTACGTTTGCTTTCTTTTGTGTACTCACTGCCTTGCCAGTTTTATTATTATTACAACTACTCTTTCGTGTTCTCCTAAGAGTTTTCCCTATGTTGTTGTCTCCTTGTTGCTTTGTTTTTGGATTTTCCCTTGTTATTTCTAAGTACCGAAGCCTAGTACCCTCAAGTTGTGCCAAATAGTCAGTGCCTGTTTGTATCGAGTGCCTGCAGCACTATTTGGGGTGTGGCTGACATTTGGATGCCTGAGTCTCTGTGTTTTCCGGTGGACATTCGTCAGGTGGCTTCCTGGCTCTTGATGGTGCTGTGAACCTACAGTCGTCTGGGTTTTCCAAATGATGTGAGTAGGTGATAGCCCACTTTGTTCCTTGCTGCGTCCATGGGAACCTGTGTTGCTGGGTGTTTTGTTGTTTCGGTGTCTGGCCGCTTGCCTGCCCATCCTCCTGCCTTGCTGCTCAGTGCCTTTTTCCCTTGCTGCTCACTGTGCTGGCTTGCTGGTTGGTTGCCTTGCTGCCTTGCTGCTCGCAGTGGTGTCTCCCAAAATAAGTCAGCACATGTGGCATAATTTCACGGATCGATATCGGAACGGGATTGGGTGTTTTCTCTTCCTGCAATAGTACCCTTAGTGCTTTGTTGTATTGCTTTGCTCTGTGGCTTGCCCTCTTGCCTCGCCGCCCTGCTGCTTGCCTTGCTTCTTTGTTGCGTTGCTGCTCGCCGTGCTGCCGTATTCCTTCCATTGTTGCCTTGTTGCCTTGTTGCCGTGTTGCCTTGTTGCCTTGTTGCCGTGCTGCTTGCAGGGAGGAGGACTTTGGCCCGTATGTACGGATCTATGAAACACATTATGGAAACACTCGTTAACCAACGGCGAAGTACGCCATGTGTGGTGTGCGGTCTACGTACCGATGGAAGGGTCTTGTGCAGTGGAGCAAAGTGTACGAGAATTGTCACGTCTGTGTGATGTGTCCTGTTTTGGGCAGGAACCAATGTTGTTACATTGTCTTGGGAGTTCTTATGGACTGTGGAGACTAAACTTGGTCTACGTACGATGCATCAGATCCGTCATTCATTGAGCGATTGCTGCCGATCTTGCCGGTGGTCACGGATGATCCCGGAGCTCGGAACGCTCTTTGGAGTGTGCTAGGGAGAATATTTAAGACCCTTGTCTCTCCAGAGTGGCCGTCAGATCACGAATTTGCGGAGAGAATAACTGCTGTGATTGTGGAGGGAAGTCGCATGCTTGTTCAAGACTTGGAGGATGATCATCACACAGAACCAGGCCAACCGAATGGACCAGGTGCAGATGCTCCTCATGCCAATGGAGTTGATGTCGCAGACTATCTACTGGGTGGAAACACCATCGGCCTCGAGTGGAAGATTCGAACGGTATCCTCATGATCCTAAATTAGTTGATGTCAACAATTTTCTCTCTCCCTGTTACCTTGGTCCGCAACGCCCAAGCCCGGCAGCTCTCTCCTACCGTCTTCCCCCGAACACAACGCACCCCGATATGAACTGTACGCTTGCTATCCTTCCGGTCAGGTGCAGCCAAAATGAGGGTGCGTTGTGTTCGGGGGAAGACGGTAGTGGTCTTTTTTGTTTTGTTTTCCTTCCTTTTTTTTTCAGTAGCTCTCAATCTATCAATCCTTGCTATGGCTGGACCTGGTGAGTTTCCCCGTGTCGAGAAAAAATGGACCATTTCTCGATTCATGTGTGCCTAACATCATCTAAACCCACCTAGCATCATTTAAATCCACCACCAGGGTTTGAAGTTTGAACTGGTGATCTGCTTATCGACAGACTGTATGTGGGTAACGAACTCAGCCATGAAGCTGGGGTGAAATTGCATTGAAGATTACTCTACATTCTCCCCGGAACACAACACGTCCGGATCAGGAATGTATACAAGCTATTTTTCCGGCTCAGTACAGTCATATTGAGGGTGTGGGTGAAGCTGGTAAGACTCTGCAGCGCAATTTCCATTTGAGCTTGGCCTCTGGTGAGCTTGTTGGTAATTGCAAGGAAAATGAGCACGAGCGATAGACAGGAAACGAAATTGCAACATCACACTGAAGACCAGATAATCGTGTCCCAAGCAGAAAGCAGAATGCACTGAGATACAATCCAAACAAGAGCAATGCAGTGAACTCAAATGTCAATGTCAGACTCTTCTCACCACCATCAACAAGGTATCCAATTTCGCCCTTCTTCATTGGCACTCGGCGCCCAGCCTACCACTACTCTGAACCCTTACTAGCCTACAACTAAATGATGAAGCAATCAGGATCCCCTTCCAGCCGAAGTCGCCCATGCAGACTGCCGCATACACACCAGGTACGTGTCTCTCTCACCACTCCCTCATCACCCTCTGTGCCCAATATGTGCACCTCCTACCCGAAGACCACCATCACCATCACCAGCATTCCAGGCCCGATTATGGCCACTTGCGGCCTCTTTTCGAGCAGCACCCCTGCACCCCTCTGTGCGAGTGTGCGCCCCAGCGCTGCCTCAGACAACCAGCGCCCAGTCGAGCAGCATGGCCGCCAGCAAGTGCAAGGCTAGAATCCCTGGCTGGGCACTGGGCACTCTCCTAAATGGAAAGTGCTGCCCTGGGCTTGGCGTCCGAGTTCCCGGTAGCTTGACATCGGGCCAAAGTATCTGCGCCCAGGCCCAATTCAGATAGCGGCCTGGGCCGCGGCAGTTAGGCAACCCAGCTGTGCGACATGGTTCAGATCACTCGCTGCATCCTGATTGGCCGAGAGGCCAGTCTCCACGTCGCTGCCTGGAAGAGCCTGGAAGGCTCATGAGTCCTTGGTCACACAGCATGCTGGGGGGCCCGCAATCAACTGGCGTCCTGTAACTGTCTGGCGCCCACAAGGCCGGAAAAGGCGAAAATAGGCCTAACATGAACAATGCAGTCCCGCCTTCAGGGTGGGCACGAGGCTTGCAGGGGGGCAAATAGGTGTCGGCTTCTTGGGCCTAATGGCCTTGCGAGGGCCTCATTCCTCGCACTCCCTCCTCCTTTGCTTCGAAGGTCTGCTGAGATGCTTCGACGAAGTAGCTTTTCCCCTTAACTTCCGTTCATAATAGGCAACAACCTGCGGTGCTGTCTTTGTCAGCTACTCCTTGAACCGACGATCTTCGTTTGGATCCGTATGATGCCTGAATCTGACCCAGTATTCTCTTGCAGGTTTCAGCCATCTTCCTCTGGCAGTTGGCTTTGGAACAGGCAGGTCTTGATGATCCACAATGTTGTCAATATCCACGTGGCCATCCATGGTTGGGAGCAGCATTGATCTCCTTGATGGAAATTGATCAGTCTCAGTGAAAGGTGTGAGCTTTGATTGCATGAATACAGGGTAAGTGCGGAGGTGTCCCGGGATTCTCCAGATCATTCCCCACGATATCAGGACTTCCCAAGGACCAAGGACTCTGGAATTAACTTTCTAGAGATGCCGAATTCCTGTCCTAACTCACTATACTTAACCCAGACTCGTTCTCCTACCTGAAATGCGGACTGTCGTCGATGCTTGTTCTCTGATGCTGTCATGGCATCCTGAGATTGCTTGATGAGCTTGACAGCCTCCTGCAACAGCTTTTCATACCGGACACCAAATTCGATGGTTCCAGGCGTTGCAGCTGGTTGAAAGTCAAGAGCTGATCTAGGCTTCCAACCCAAGTGCAGCTTGTTCCGAGAGACACTGGTGGTGCTGTGAACTGTGTTGTTGTCCAGGCTGGCAATGAGAGGAAGCTTCTCATCCCAGTCCTTCTGGCTCAGCTTGATGTAGTGCCGCAGCAGGTGCTGTACCGCGTGGTTCATCTGCTCCGCTTGGCCGTTGGCTTGGGGATGATTCCCTGAAGTCATTTGGAGTTTGCTGCCCATCTGTTCACCCACTTTCTTCCCCATCTCACTTGTGAAATGGACATCTGTATTACTTACTATAGGCTTGGACAGTCCGAAATCACGTACCCAGTTATACATGAATAACTTGATGACGTGCTAAGTCTTTGCATTCTCGGGCATGGCAACCAACCTCGCGTATTTCGTGAAAGCCTTCACTATGACAAGAACATATCTCTTGCCGCTCTTGCTGGTCACGAGGGTGTCCATGAAGTCCATGGAAACACTCTGTCCCGGACCAGCGGCAATAGGCAAGGGCTTGATCAACCCAAGCGGCGCTTGAGTCCTCGGCTCGCCCCGTTGGCAGGCTTGACAAGTCTCTACGTACCGTTCCGCATCCTCAAGCATAGCATGGCCACCAAAATTGCCGTACCAGGTTGGCGCTTGTCTTCTTGTAGCCAAAGTGTCTGATTGCATCATGACACTCTCCTAGAAATAAACTACGCAAAGACTCTCTAGATGACACACACCACGATGCTCTCCAGGGCCATCCTGACCCATGGAACGTATTTTTTCAGTAGTAATTTGATAACGCACTTCATTTCTAATGACCTGTCAACTCTTGTTATGGGTCTAGTTTCTGATGACCTAGTTGCTTATACGACATTTGCAGAGAATCAAGAGGGACATGCAGTCTGGCAGTTAATCATCCATGATGGAGCAATCAATGCTAGTCAGGGTTCCTTTGGCCAAGATGGAACGAAGCGTTGAGTTGTATTTATCTTGTATTCTGCGACCGCTCTTGCCGGTGGAAAGGAACCGGATTGATGGTCCCTAGAATGGATCCACTTTTGTACACCGAGTCATGGCTGTAGGGGTTAAGAAACCCGGCTCTTGAACTCAGGTCGTCGGTTCGAATCCGTGCGTGCACGGAGGAGGTCCGAGGCTGATAGAAGTACAGACTGATGCTCCCGAGAATGGACAAGGAGCGTGGACCATAACGTCCTGTTGTATGTGACTCATGTGAGGGGGAAAAAAAAAAAAAAAAAAAAGGAGACATGGATGATGTAAATGACTAGTACGTGGTGGTGTTGGATGTTGGATAGAATGTAGAATCACAGTACAGATTAATTAGGCACGTAGTATACGCGGTCACAACATAGAACAGCAATAAACTGTTGTTGTAGAAGTGGTAACTGGAGGCTTGAAGTTGGGCTTCCTTTTTATTTTTATTTTATTTTTTTTGTGCCGTTTTTCTTTTCCCTTCTTTTTGAAGTTGGGCTTTGTATATCAAGAGAGAGAAAAAAAATGTGGTGTTGTTCCTTGACAGAGAGAGAATGTCAGATTGCTGACATGATACAGGTAATGGAGAGATGGTTGGCGGGTCTTGGAGACGTGCTCGCTGCAGGTCAGACCGCCAGCAATTGCCTGTCAGTAAACAAGGTGGTGATGGTGTGCAAGGAATTGCAAAGGAGCATGGCAGCAGTGGATAAAGTCATGGCTTCTCTGGTCCTTAAGCTGAACTCGCAAGGGCAACAACCTCAGATCACAGGTACATGGCTCAGAATCGGGTTCGGTCACTGAACGCCAACACGATGCTACTCAGATTTTAATTTTAAAGGAAAAAAAAGCTTACAGTTATTCTCCAGCGATGAGTACTGACAACCCTGCGAAGTTTGTCTTTCCTCGGTTCTGTTCTTTGCCCCTCCACCACTTCTCCCTCCTTCGCCCCTCACTTCCTATAGAACTCCACGCCCTACCCCTTTCCTTCCGTCCTCCTCTTGTCTGTTACTAGTGAATGAGCATTATTAAGAGGACAGACAATTTTTTTTATTTATTTATTTATTTATTTATTTTTTTTTATTTTTTTTAGGACAGACAAAATGTAAACTGAAGATCTGAAGAAAAGTGAACAGGAGTACACCTCACCCCTTATTCCGCCTCCTTTCATAACGAGCAAGTGGGCCGTTACGGCACACGGGAATGTGGGCAGCTGATAGTCAAGAAAGGGATATATATAGGATCCATGTTGCTCACTATAGAGGTAAAACCGTTTCATTGTTGGATTGGTGGCTCATCTCAAGTGTGCTTCATTGTCTGCGCTAGACGTAAAGCTGCTTCGATTTTGGATCTGCTCATCTCAGTGGAACAGAGGCTGTTGTGGTGAAAATCTACAACACACAGCACACATCCCTGGCTGAGTGGGTGTGTAGAGTGGGTTTTACAGCTGTGACAGAGTAGCTTCTCGCACTTGCTGCTGTTTGTCTTCGAAGTAAACAAACAATCTGCCACAAGTAATCAAAATAGTTTTTGATGAATGGGCCTAAACGTTGTTGAACATCGTATATATATGAAATGTTAATAAAAGCCTATTGAAAAGTCAAGCAAATAGTGAGACGAAGACAAGACCTATTGCAGCAACACCTCCTAATTTATTCGGTAGTATCGGTATAGAAATCGTAAGTGTTGTGTAAATAGCTAGGCTACCAGAGTGGCCCGGGACCACTTGTGTGAGGATTGAGCCCTCAAGAAGGGGCCTTGCCATGATGTACATGTTCTGGGCTAAGGCCCCAGCAAGCCTCGTGCCCGCCCTAAGTGAAGGCTGGCCAGCAAATCAACAAGAGCCCTCTGTGCATTGGTGTTGACATCATCACTCGCTGGTCGTCAAGTTATCTGGTTGCTTTCATATTGTAGTTGTAGTGTTAGGCTGTAGAGTAGGTAGGGCGCCTGGCGCCATTCAAGAGAGAGAGCTACATTGGGTTATGCTGTTGGTGTTGCCC